TTCTTTCCTACAGAATGTAGACATGACGAGATAATTATCTAGACATCTGGAAGGTCACTATAAGCTTCCGTACATCCCACTTTAATGTCTTCCGCAGAGACCGCCAAGACCCCTGCTATGAATGGTGTACTCATAGCAGTTAAAAATACTCTCATCGCTTCAGTCGAAGCTAAACTACAAACAGCTTGTGAAATGATATGGATTTCTATACCAGTTAAGGGTTTATGCTTGAAGATGAAAACTACAATAGCGCACCGTCTTTGGACCCGTGTGCATTATGGCCGTGTGCACGTTAAAGAATGCAGTACGCTATTCGGAAAAGAGTAGGGGATTGTCTACCGGTGTACTGGCCTATCACCACCACGACATTTCCATCAATATGCATCAATAATACGAAGGCAGCAACCTAACGGAAGAAGAAGAAGAATGCAAACAGCATAGAAGAACTATATTCCTCCCTTAAGATGGTGCTCCTTAATTTGATTGAGCGCCACATTCCATCTAAAAGGAGCTCAAGTCGAGATATAAACAGAACGCTAAGGCTATACAACAAAGCTAAGAAGTCCGGACTAGCATCGCATCGTTCGAATTCAAAGAACTCAGACGAAACATTGACAGAAAGATAAGAAAAGTAAAAAATAATTAAATCAGGGAAGTAATTGATAGGAGCTTAAAGCAAAAAGAAAGAAGTGTTGGGAGTGTCACCACTTTTAGTTGAAAACAAACCACTGATTATTGCCATAGAAAAGGCTGAAGCTCCTAATCAGCAGTTATGTTCCGTCTCCACTAAAGATGTCAATCTTCCTAACATTGGACCAAGTAATATTCCTGCTATTGACATCAACATAATAATAATAGTGTAGTTTTATATAGCGCACATATCCATCTAATGTAAGATACTCAGGGAGCGTGATATGTGGACTAGGAACTCGATCAATGACTTTCTTCACCCCTTCGTGTCTGTGCTACCCGGTAACCTGGTACCAGCAACTCTCGTCGTCCACCACAGGGGCTGTCTGTTCCAGTACACCGGGATATCACCCTGCTCGTCTCGAAGGATGTACTTGGTTAAATGGTAGGAGGCAGGTAGAAGAATAACCCATAACTTGCAGCGTCACTGTGCTGAATTGCGTATGGGCGTGGTCCGTGACTATCTAGCAGCCGTAAAGAGTCGCTTCTTGGTAGATACATGTTCACATCATTCCACAACGGCAGGGACTGAAATGAACCATAACATCAGGGTAACCCCCTACTCTTCCGAAAGATGCAATGGGTTCTTTAAAGTGCACACGAGCAAGATGTATACACTGGACCTCCATTGTAAGTCCTTATCCGAGAAGACGGCTAAAACCAACGCCGATGTTAAGGCTGTAGCTAGCGGCGCCCCTGCCTTACCGCTCGGCCACTCGACTGTGTTCTTTATAGTGCACACGAGCCATTGTATATCCTGGGCCTACGGTTTATAGTCCTTATCTGAGAAGACGTCTACCACCAGAACCATAGGTGAGTGTGCCGTTCGAACCATGCGCCGATATTATGGCTATAGCTTGCGCGCCCCTGCTAACCGCTCGGCCATTCGACTCACCCATCATCACTTCTGAGGGAATCTATAAAGTACACAAAGCAACTGGACAGGATAATATACCGACTAAGGTCCTTAAAGCCTGTTCCAGTAGCATTGCCTCTATTCTAACAAAGCTATTCCAAAATTCTCTATCTACTGGATCATACCTTCTGATTAGTTGAATGCAAATATATCCTCTATAAGAAAAATGACAGGTCGTCCCCATCCAATTATCGTCCTGTGTCTTGCCATCAATCTTATGCAAGGTACTGGAACATATTCTCCATGGCAATGTTATGAAGTTTGACGTACCATCAGATCAACAACACGGCTTCCGAAAGTGTCAAGTCTGAGGAGTCAGGTGGATTTTATAATAATGGATGTCAACAAGGTCTTCAATACCGTACCTCATAAACGCCTTCTGGGTAAACTTGATGTTGGCATCCGGAACAACGTTCTTTCATAGATAAAAACAAATTATTACTATAAACGCCATCAAAAAGGATCGGTTGACGATTGCAGACGATTGAATAATATACCGTGAAATAACGGACGAAAATGACGCAAACTCTCTGCAAACGGATATTAATACCCTTAGTTCATGGGAATCAAAGGTGCGTTACCATGATGATTCCTCATAAATCTAAAACTATTATGAAGCACTACTCATGAATAGTCCTATCCTAGAAAAAGTTGAGTCTTCCTTACCTCCAATGAAATTGAGTAAACACATAAATCAAGTTGTTAATAAAGCTAAGGTCTCATTAAAAGAAACTTGTGATAAAGACATAAAGTCTACTGCTTATCTTTGCCGAGTTCGCTTTATACTTGAATGTTGTCCACCATATAGGACCCTCATTACATGAATTACAAAGTGCAAAGACGAGCGTCTTCGGTAACTAACGTCGTACACCTAGCTAAATAAACTTTTTGAAAATCTCAAATTGGAAAAGCCTGAGACGAGAAGAAACCAAGCCCGCTGTCTGCCACTTACTCATAATGAAATATGAAAAAATAGTATTCTAATGACAATTCTAAGGCAGCCGCTAAACTTACTGATTGGCTTAACATTTGCATGGAATTATACATACCTTCTAAAACATTTCAAGCCAAATCTCATTCACATCCATGGTTCTCACCAGTACGTAATTATCATCGTAATTATTATTTTATACTCTTTCATCGTTGCAGTACTCTGCAGAACAGACAACCTTCCTAGACTGCTAGAAATAAATGCCAGAAAGTTCTTGCTAAAGCTAAGGATGCTGCATCTGTAAAACAATCCTAAACCAACGCCTCAGATCCAGGGACTTTTTGAGCATTGCCAATAATGTAGTAAATCGTGGAACCAAATCTCTACCACCTCTATTCAATGGCCTGACAACAGCAAATGATCTTGCGGAACGCTTTGCGGCAAATTCCACTGTCATGGAAGAACATCCATTGCCATGCTTCCCCTTGATAACTGAGTGTGTTATTTCTAAGCCTGTATTTATTCCTAAACATACTAACAACATAATCCAATGCCTTGATTGCAGCAAAGCTACTGGCCCAGATGGCATCCCAACTGTTGTTCTAAAACATTGCTGCCCTGAGCTTTCTTCTATCGTTTCCAAGCTCAACCACTGCTGGTCGGAGTTAACTTTTTCAGCTTGCTTGGAAACTGCATCTGTTGTACATCAAAGAAAGACGGTGTAAAATCAAAGACATAGCTTGCTACCCATCATTAGCAAGATTTTTCAGCGTTTACTCTCTAAAGTTATTATCAACCTTGAAAACACAACCTATTAACTGATTGCCAGTATGTGTTTCGAAAGCAACGCTCAACAGCTGATGCTCTTGTTGTTGTAACTGAGCGGAATATTTTGGCGGCGAGACACGGTTGGTTGCACATAATATATCCAAGGCCTTTTACAATGTCTTGCGCAGGGGCCTTCTTAATAAACTTAAGGCCTATGTTTTCATTCCCAATTTGTTTTTTTGTCTTATCTATTCATTTCTTTTTAATCGCCATTTCAAGTTATCCGTTACGTTCAAAGTTCTAGGGTGCATGACATCAATTCCGGAATGCCTCAAGTCTTCCTGCTTGGTCCTTTATTTTTCTTATTTATATTAATGACCTTCCTGACAATTTTCTCTAAGACATTACAATTAAGCTGATGACACAACTCTCTCAGCATCATAGGCTGGTGTACAGAACAGAACAGAACACATTACGCCAACCTTCTCAATTGTGACCTGCAAAATATATTAGGTTAGGGTTCTTAATGGAGAATTACATTTAATCCTTGATAAGACCCAACTTTTAATCATCAGCCGATCCAAGAACCGCAATTTTCCTCAACCCAGCTGGATAAACTACCATGCCTTAGACTGCTGGGACTTCACATCACTTTCTCCCTGAACTAGGGGAAACACATCAAAAGGCTAGGTAAAGCTAGTTCTTAAATAAAGTTGAATGCTTGTATCAGGCAAAAAATATTATATACTTTTTATTTCCGCCTTTCTGTGTTAACATATTTAT